CCCCATGGATCCGCCACTGTCAAAGTTATCTCTTTGCGACGTGTGTGATATATTGGTCACATGCGTCTTATACTACAACGTATGTCAAATAAATAGTTTACATGCAATTTGAACGCGCCTCACATAACGACTGTGGTCCTTGAAACTAATCTTAATGATGTATGTAGAAGTATCGACGACGATCACTGAGAGCATTGAAACCACTTCGTTGGATTCCGAAAAAAAAATTACACATTTTTAGCGTTAGTATACGAGAGTAAATCGATGACGTCATAGTTTGTATTTGGTGTTCGACATTCCCCTATACTAGGAACACCCACAACAGAACATATTTAGAGATTGAATAAAAAATATGGAAATTTGAAAGCAGACACACGACCGGTGTTTTGGTGACACTGAAACACTTGAAATGACAAATATTTGTACCTGTCCCGATTTAACTATAATGTCCTATATCCATATCCGGAATAATTGCATATTCCCTAGTGTGATTCAGCGAGGGAAGAACATGAACTCAAATAGAGCAAATGTTACCGGGTCCATGAGTGACAGATTGGTGCATCCATGATCATTAGCTATTACATACAAGTAAGTTATAAGAAGATTTGATTCCATCGTTTACTTTGTAAGTAGGTGTCATTATTTAAATTCAACACACGTTGTTTACTCGCCGCAACGGCGAACTACTTCCAGATGCATCACGTAGTGTGTAATCCGCTGGGAGTATGGTATTAGCCTCGTTACCGCGATGACCCCCGCATTCATAAAATACAATTCTCGGAGGAAATAAAACGGTTAAGGAAATGAAGGGTAAACTTTCCCCGATTATGGTTGGCGAAAATAGTGTCATTATTGTCAGTGAGTCGCAAAAATACCAATATCAGTACGGCGGGCTTTTAAAGGCAGTTATTGGCGAATAATGCTCTTAAAGGGCGTCAGACGTCGCGCCGCGACCTGTTGGTTATGGGACTAGCGACGTATACAACGCGTGTAAAATACATTGTTTATTTCCATGAAATTCAAACACGCGCAGCGCGACGACCACCGTCCTTTAACTGTTTAATAATGGGTTTTATAATACATGACTGTATCTGTCTGCAACGTTTAATTGAATAAAAATGACGTTTAACTCAGTTGTCATCTAAAATGTCCAAGTGAAAACATTCATTTTTTTCAATTATGCAGAATTTGCACCACGGCTAATTTGAATTAGCCAATAGACGTTCTAGAATTCCCGTGGTTATATGCCGAAACGTGGTTATGGGTTGTTATGCGAGATCAAAGTACCGACAACTCAGAATATGCGACAAACCGACTACAAATTTCACTACGCGTATGCATAGCAAAAATGTGATTGTTCGAAACTCCCCATAACCAATTCGCGACAACCGTTCTTCACAGTTGCCTGGTAGCGCATTCAAATGTATTTCTTTTACACACGCTGGATACGTTTCATAGTGATAAAAATGGTAAAATATTATATTCTTTTTTGGTTTCACATAACCAAAATGTTCTGGATTGTTGCTATATAAAAGATTATTTCCCTTTCCCTCGCATCACGTGACACACTTGAGTCCCAAGCAATGATAACAACACACGCTAAGAACGCAAAGTCTCGTGAGTAGACGCTTGTTTGTAAACAATGACACGCTATGGTCATCTGACGCATGCGCAGGTTACGACTTCCCCGCCTTAAGTCAAATCATTTGATACGTCCAAAAGAACCAGTCAACAAACAAGCTGCACTCGGATTGGCCAGTATGTTGGTTATCTAGTCAAGCACAATCTTGTAAGTAGTTTTCCATTGAATCGAAATCTAATGGACTCGACGGACCTAAATAACATATCTAGATTAGGCTAAGTCTAAATAAAAGATATGTGATGACATTTAAATGGAGTCGTTGAGTGGACCAGTGGGAACTAACTATCCAACTTAGCACGGTGTTCACAAAAATTAGTTCCATATTTAGGTGACCATCTTGTATTCAATGAAGCTATAACATTATTAGAATGCAAAATAAAATTACATTGAATTGGCTGAATATATGCCTCGCTGGCGACTCGCGCGCACATTTCGCAGTCATGATTAAAGTACGCGCATGCGCTGTGAAGTTGAGGCAAAATAAATGCGCATTTGCATACACAATCGGTAAAATCATTAAAAACATGGACAGTGCTATCACTGGAAAAAGTGACGTCGACGTAAGTTGCGCTAGGTAATTTACAATTCACACCAGAAATTCATCGAAAAGGCGTAAATTTGTTGGCCACAGGATAATGCGCACAATGACACTGACTCGTATATAGGCAATGTTTTAACTGACAATGTATTTCTGTAAAATGTTGTGTGTTTTTTTTTAGCATTTCTTGGCCATGTATTGGCATAATGATCGGTGTAAACAAGGATAGAAGAGTACAAATAATATCGCGCAGTAAGTTGTTAAATTCTCCACGAAAAATTGAACATACTTATATTGGATTGGGATTTATTTATTTAAAGTTTATAAAAAGTAATTGGAAATCCGGGATGTAAAATCTAAATATTTCATCTGTCTTTTTTCCTATGGCTGTATGTGAGAACACAGCTTACTCCACTCAACCATTTCTGTATTCATTGCTGCATATTGGCCAGGGGACATCTACGAGAATCGATACGCGGATGAAAACACATTTCATCTCCTCTGTCACGAGTGTGCCTCATTTTTATTCAATCAAGCTTTATCTTTAAACATCTGTGTGTTAATATATTGTGTTATGGTGTTTTGAGTAACATACACGACTAGGAGATAGCACGATAGTAGGGGCATGGCTCGTCGACATGACTGAACGTGAAGGAATTCGTCTATTTCCGACGGCACGCAGATTGAATGTTCATATATTTTCCAAAACAAAACATTTACATGCTGCCATGGATCATTAACAATCAACCATGATATTTTTTGGATTCAACTAGAGTTAACCATGTTACCGGCACCATATACACAACACACAAGTTGACCTTTGAGAAAGTGCACCGCGTGGGTTCACGTTTTATTTTGAATTTCAAGTCTTGTAGTGCAGCGATACCATATATTACTTCATTGATTCCATGGTTACATTTCTTGCGATAAGACAACATACTGAAAGTTGGTGATGGTGACGTCACCTCCCGTTGACCACGACATGGCGTAAGTTATGCGCAGTATGAAAACATTGTTGATTGGGTTTATCACACACACAGAGACACACACACACAAACTGTTTTGTTCCTCGTCAGATATTGTACTTTATATTTCGCAGATACACTGTTATAGAAACTCTATAACAATCCAAGTCAAGTATTCGACACGGAAGCTGGTTGTGCGTTTTGAAAGCATATATCATGTACGTGTAGTGCAGTGTAGTGCAGTGTAGTGCAGTGCAGTGTAGTGCAGTGTAGTGTAGTGTAGTGTAGTGTAGTGTAGTGTAGTGTAGTGTAGTGTAGTGTAGTGTAGTGTAGTGTAGTGTAGTGTAGTGTAGTGTAGTGCAGTGTAGTGTAGTGTAGTGTACTGTAGTGTACTGTAGTGTAGTGTACTGTAGTGTAGTGTAGTTTTTGGGAAAAGGAAAAGTACAAACAGATGAGGGGTATTACAGATTAAATAATCAAGTTTCTTTTCAAGGTGGAAGTCAGAGTGTGATTACATTTTTAAATAAAGCATTCTCATGATGTTATCTCATTCAAAACCCCAGATAAAAAGAAACACTAAACATACTTAGTGGTGAGTTGTCTACATGCGAGTCACGTGAATAGTACGATGTATTGACAGTAACTGTAGAACATGTTTAAAAAAAATCTACTACGAAATAATTCAAATTGTGGAAAACCTTGTGAATGTTTGCCAGTTTTTGTTCAAAAACAAGCATTATGGAAAAAAACAGGAGCGTAGTTTGTCTTAATTAGCCAAAGTGATTTATCTCATTTTGAACAAACGTTGTTATGTGTATAAGCAAATTAAAGCGGGAGGTCGGTCACCTGCGCACGC